AAAAAGGCCAATTCAATACTTTTTGAAATATTGAGTGTCTGTGGCAGTGGCCCAGTTCCAAAACCATATATATTCCCTGCAGCTCAGATGTGAAACATGTTAATTTGCTCCTCTGTGTCTGAACCAAAAGTGTTTCTTTGTCAGTAACTATTATTATGCAACCAATTACACAGCAAACACTCCAATGATAAATATAAATGTAACTGCAAAATATTACAAGATGAAGACAGTATAGTAAATTTTGACTATGTAAGCAATCACCCACAGTTAATAAGTAACAAGTAACAAATAGCATAAGGGCATAGATGTCCTAAAGCTTGTGCTGGAAGAAAGTTACAGGAAAACAACTTGGAAGTTTTAAATTATGTAGAAGAACTCAAAATTATGGTGAAGACATACATCCTGGATTAACTCATTCCTCAGTGTCTGCTGTCCATGTACAGTATTAGGTATTAGTTTTATACACACACACATGCGCACACACACATACACATACAGTACAAAGGAAGAATCTGTGTAGGGTGGCGGTCCTGGGCGCCAACTTCTGAGGGAGTACGGACTTGCCAGCCAATTTCACTCGAACAGGACGCGCCAGCGGTGATGCTAGCCTTGGGCACCACATAGGCTAAGACTGGTGCTGTGGCTGGAAGTTGGTTAGTTTTGGAGATATTGCCCATAGAAGAGTCAGTCTTCCTACAAATATAATAGGACCGAATAGCATTCTTTCTGTGGTGATTAAAGCGGCAAAAAAATACATTTGAAAAATTCAACAGCAACGTCTCTTGCCATAAATCATGACCCAGTTACTCATGATAATCCACAGACCTGGTAGTGAGCAGTTTAATGTAGGAAATATTTTCTTTCAACCAAACTCCACACACCATGGTTCACATGGCTTCCTCCACAGCTCAGCTAGCAGTATGAGTTAGCATCAACTGCCAACACTAACAAATAGCAAAAAAAAAACAATAAGTAAATTTTACTTAAAACAACTGAGGAAAGCGATTACACTCATAAAAGTGAGTAAAGTACTAAGTTATTCATACTTGTAAATTTAAGAGGTGAAAACTGATCGTTCGGATTAAACTGAACATAGCATTGGTTACCCTAACTTGTAATCTGAATTTCTGATAACTCATTTCGCTCAGTAAAACTCATACATGTCAGTAGTATAAACTAATAACCCTTTTTTTTGGCCATTGCACAAGTACAGGTACATAGGAATTTGTCTCTTCACCAACCCCATCTTGATCTTCACAGTTCAGGGGTCAGCCATTTTGCTGCACCCCTGAAGTCGGAGGATAAGGGGGCCTTGCTCAAGGGCCCATTGCCATGTGACTCTTCTGCGGAGGTCAGGGCTGGAACCAGCAACCTTCTAATCACAAGCACAGAGATTTAGCCTGCTGAGCCACTCACATTGCAGCCCACGTGAAATCATAACATCCTAGATAATTCATATTGACTGCATAAAGATTATTCAGACCTGCTGAATCTTTCTAAATATTTACACAGCAGACACCATAATTCATTCACGTGATATTCATTATTTTACAAAACATGGCAATTTGAAAAAACTTTTTTTTTTGGGGGGGGGGGGGGGGGGTGAAAAAAGTAAGAAATGTAAAATTCAAATACAAAAAATACTGTGACAACCTACTTACATTATAAAAAGTAATTTCTTTTAAAATTATAACGAAAACCGTAATATACAGTATAGAGAATCTAGGATTTTTCAGAACAAACATGATGTTTACTGCCACCTAGTATGTGATCCTAAAATATGTCATTTTTAGAGAGATTTCAAGTAATGTCTGCTCGTTACATTGAGTAACCAAATATTTTCATCACAAAAGTTATGATCACTTAGTTTTTTTTTAAGTTAGGATCACTTGCAATTTTTATTCAGGTCATTGTTTGGTTTTACAGTGTTTCTTAGTTAATAGTAATAATAGCTTGATACTGCTAACTCACTTTGCACCACTGAGCTAGCTAACATTAGAGCTTAGAAGAAGACTGACATTTCTATGGTTGATATTTCCAAAATTAAGCAAGTTTCACCACTAAAATCTAGATGGATAAATAGCCATACAGCATATCTAAAATATGTGTTTTTTATTATTTTGGGATGAAGGTCCTACTTAAATCAGTAGTTTGGGAGCATTTTGGAGAGAGAATAGCTGATAAGACCAAGACTGTGTGTTGGGTCTGTTATAACAAACTTGGATATGGCATTTAGGCTGCTTTTACCTGGAAATTCAGACTGGGCTAAAAAAATACTAAAGGGTATAGGCTATAGAAGTGTTTATCGCTACAGGTATACGACCATATTTGGTAAAAGAGAACACAGGATTTAGACATGATTTCTTTCATTATGATTGTTATGATGCATGCCTTATTTTTGAATTTTTATTTATTTTACATATTAGTTTTTACAATGTGAAAATAAGCGTCTCTTAGGGTTTGTTACACAGACACACTGGTTTATTTTGAAATACAACTGTTTCTGATTGTGTCTGCAGTTTTAATAATAGATAATCTAAAAACAAATTCCATGTTCCATGTGGTACTGAAGTCACACTGAACTATCCATCGTTTTCAATACCCACTATGCAGGGTCACAGTGGTCCGGAGCCTTTCCTGGAAGCTACGGGTACAAGGCAGGAAATAACCGAGGAAGGGGTGCCAACCTATTGCAGGATGGACACACACACACACACACACACACACACACACACACAAAGCATTTACAGGCACATTCATATCACCAGATAGTTTGATAACTCCAATTTTCCTTAACATTTTTTTTGACTGCGGGGTCAAACCAGAGAAAATGCAAACACCACACACAGAGCCTTCGGAAAGACTCAAATCTCTGTCCCAAGGTGTGAAGTAAAAGAGCTAACCACTGCATTGCACTGAACCATGAACTCAAAACCATGATTTGTACCAAACTGTGAATTTTGTGTACTGTCACACCCCTAGTAGACACTGTGTGCAGAATTATTAGACAAGTGTCTTCTGATCATTATTTTCAGTCCAGATGAATCTGTAATTATGAATGAATTGTTTAAAAACAGAGCATGTTCAGTATTTGGTCTGAGTACTTTCTGTTTTGAGAAAAAGAGGAAACTCTAGATACTTCCCTGTGCAGAATTATTAAGCAAATAATTAATACTATTAAAATGGGCTGAAAAGGGACCTTACAGAGAGCAGAAAACACAACATGGTAAAGTGCCTGTCAGAGGGATGCAAGACAATTGAAATTGCCAGACTTTTGAAATGTGATCACTGTACAATCAAGTGTTTTGTGGCCAACAGCTAAAGAGGACCGAAGAAGCATGTAAAGAGAAGACGACACAAATTAACTGACAAAGATTTGTGTCAAATTGAAGTGGAGACTTCCAGAAACACTTTAGCATCAAATGTCTGCATTTTCAAAACTGCAATCTGAATGGAATCTCCGGAAGTACAAGGTGCAATGTGCTGAATGACATTGCTAAGGTCACAAAGGCTGAAACATGACCTCCACTGAATAAGGCACACAAGGTATAACATTAAGAATAGACACGGACACATTTCAAGACTGATGTTACAAAGGTTTTGTGGACCGATGAGATGAAAGTGACTCCTGATAAAGCAGTTGGATGGGCCACTGGATGGACACCCTCTCTAAGCACCAAAAAGCAGGTGGAGGAGAGATGATGTGTTCTGCAATTATCAGTGATCAACCTGTCGGACCTTTCTTACTTGCAGATGGTATAAAAATTAACCACAAGGTCTACAGCCAATTTCTAGAAGTCACCTTCAAACACTGGCACACAAATAAGTCAGCAGCTTTCAAAAAAGCAGGACAATGCCCCTTCCATACATCTAAGTATTCCATAGATTGGCCTAGAAAGGCTTGAATGGTGATTGAATTATGACCAGGCCCCCATCATCGCCTGACTCAACCACCACTGAAACCTATTGGGCCTTACAAAAGTGTGAGATTTATCAAGATGGTAAGCAGTACACTTCTCAGAGCAGCATCTGGAAGGCGGTCCGAGCTGCCTCAGCTCATATAGGACAGGATCAAATCAAAAACTTGATTTGTTCAATGGACAACAGGCTCATGATGGTCATTGAGAAGAAAGGTGGCTATACAGGGCATTCAACTTGGTGAAGTGGGCTGTATAGAATGATTGATAATTTGTTATTCCTTATATAAACTGAATAATAAAAAACTGTTTTTTATTATAATTTCGGTTGATGGTGAAGAGAGAAAATCCACTGATTGCCTAATAATTGTGCTCACAGATAATCAAGTGTTTTCCTTTTATTTTTGTTTGTGAATATCAAATGTAACATTTTCTCTCTAAGTAAATTTACTTGGAGCAAAAGAAAACTTCTGAATTCGTTTTTAGAAGTCTGCTCAACTTTGCTTAAAATTATCTCCGGGAATAGTACTTGCCCACTAATTCTGCACATAGTGTAATGGTAGCAACATTGTCTTTCATTATGAAGGACATTTTCCCAAGCATTTCCACATTTTTTACATTTTTGCTGAAGCATTATGTTGACATTTATATTGTGTGATTTTGCTGTTTTTGTGGATGGATGGATGGATGGATGGATGTCCCAGGGCTGGGCAAAGTTTACAAACATATTCATTCTGAATCACTCATTCCACTTGAGCCTTATTATCAATCATAATAAAACACAGACATCTGTGTCCTCTCCCCCTCAGAGACTTTGATGCCTGACTCCGCATGCAGTCAGTGCCCAGTTTGTCACAATTATTCTCACTCCTGTTTGTTGCTCGTTACATCCATGTCTCTTCTATGTCCAAATAAAGTCATTATTCCTTCCCATCATCCCTGAGTCATATGGTTCTGACCACTTTCCACCTGGAGCAAGTCTTACAGTCTTCTGTTGCATAGGCGTATAAAAATGATATTGCTTTAATTTCATGTTCATTTCATAAACTCCAGTATTCCTCCATAGTTAAACTCTAGCAATACCTTATAGCCCATGTGAGTCCGAGTCTTCATCAGTGGTGTAGTGGAGCGCAATTCAATAGCCTCCGGCTCATGGAATATCACCGTTGGCAACGGCTCCTTCTTCAAGGTAAGCACGTTGAGCTTGGTCTTCAGCATTGTCTGGAAGTGCTGGAATGCAGAAAGTCATTTTGAAACTGTTATCTGTAACCTTGTTGCATGTAAAAAAACCCATTTTTTCTCTCTCATTTTTTACACAGCACCTGAAACACTACAAGATTGTGTTCTTTTTGAAAACCTCACCAGAATCCACATACTTATCATTAGGTCTTTTGTAGAAGAATAGAATAAATGAACAGGGATACTCAGCTTGGACTCTCCACTTCTCAAAAAAAAATTTGAATTTGCAATGTTTTAAGTCAGAACTGCTGAATTCCACACACAGATTATTATCACTAACTAATCATCATGTACTACAATCATTGTTTTAAAATCATTCAGGCCACTTGTTAAACGTATTATACTGTACCTAAAAAAACATCCACGTTTTCTTTTGGACTTCCAATAGCATTTTATCATATTCATCACTGCATGACAAACTTTCTAAAAACCCAAGCTCTAACCAACACCAGCATATGACTTTGGTCTGTGTTACAAAATCCAAATTCCAGAACGGGTTTGGGATAGTGAGTCGTTAAGACTCATCTCCCATCTTCCATCTGTGATGCACATTTCCCTGCTGGCAATGTCATTATTTCCTTTGGATGTGAAAGACCCCCCCTCCCCCCAGAATGTGATCCACATTTTTTTCCAGCACGACATAGCAGTGATGTCTTTATATAAGACAGGTATTCTAAAGTGAAAATACTCTCACAGCAAGATAGCCAGCCAATGCTGTGGAGAGACAACAGTAATACACCTGCCAGGAAATGATATGGCCACTGTGAGAGTTGTAGACAACACATTATGAGCCTGATGTCCAGCATCTTTGTACCAGTTCCAGTCTCCCTCAGACAAACACAGATGCTAATACTGGGGATTCAACAGAATACAAATGTGTTATCACTCTACAGAAGTAAAACTATTAGAAAGCTTTGTGCCGTCTGCATCAGGTGGTTTAGGCCTTAGGATGGATGCTAGTATTCATACAGCCTCATCTGTATTTCATTATTTGCTGTCCAGCATATTCAGCTGAAGAATTTAGGTTCACAATTTGATCTACAAATACACACCTGTGTAGTAAGACTTCCAAAACCATTGATGAGCAGTGCATTCTGGGACACGTCTCTCCTCACCATCATTGTACTGAGTGGTGATTTTTTTTTTTTGCATTGTGGACTGTTAGCTTTAACGAGTCTGCCCATTATTCTCTGGCCTCTCTTACTTATATGGTGCTTTCGGAAACACAAGTTGCCAATGTAGTACGTTAAAATCCCAGGAGGCTGTTTCTGAGATTCTGGAACCAACAGATATGAGACCAACAATCACATCACATTTGAAATCACTTGGATCATGCTAAGGCTTTGTCACATAGTACCTGATCCTCTTTAATCTGTCTGCCGTCCAATGATTTGCTGCTTGAGAGAACAGGCTATCTACCTTAACAAGCAGGTGTACATAATAATGAGGCCAGAGAGTAGGTAGATACACACACTGAGTTTTTGAGGGTCTTATTGCAGTGTTGGTATTTTAAAGCATTTTTATATGAATGTGTGAATTTAGTGAATTTGTTTGCAAGTATATGTGCATACGTGTCAGTTGCTCAGTGGGAGCTTATGTTTGAATCAATGTTTGTCAGTCTGTGATGAGAACCATCTTTTGCCCCAGCTGTGATGTTTTAACAGAGCACAAATGTTGACTTTCACTTCCAGCTTTGGGAGCACTCCAGTGGTAGGAGGCTGTCATACTCACAGACAAAAATCATCTCTAATCCACCGGCAGACCTCTGGAAAAGTCACAATCTTATCATATACTTTCACACATGGGCATTCTCACAATCTTATCATGTACTCTCACTTACGGGGATACTCACAATCTCATTATAAACTCTCACTTATGGGCATACTCACTATCTCATTATAAACTCTCACTTATGAGCATACTCACAATCTTATTATAAACTCTCACTTATAGGCATACTCACAATCTTATCAAACTCTCTCACTTATGGGCATTCTCACAGTCTTATCATACACTCTCACTCACAGGCATAATCACAATCTTATCACACACTCTCACTCACAGGCATAATCACAATATTATCATACACTCTCACTTACTGGCATGAGAGGGAAATTCTTTTGTCTTAAACATGCTCAGTGCAACAAGAGGAATAAAGATGAGACAGTAAAGAACTTAAAAAGAACAGTAGTAATAGTGCAAAACAGAATAACAAAATAAATCTAACAAAGTAACAAATAACTATAACAGAAATAATAAAATAACAGATCATTTTCACTTTCATAACCACTTGCAGTATTTGAGAAATAAAATGACAAAAACCACCAGACACTCCCCATGGTTTAATGATCACACACGCTCTTACAAACAGGAGTGCCGCAGATTGGAGCACAAATGGAAATCCACGGGCTTAGAAGTGTTCAAGTTGGCATGGTCTGACAGCCTGTGGCAATATAAGCAAGCCCTTTGTAGGGCACGTTCAGCCCATTATTCGAACCTTATTGATTGCAATAGAAATAACACTTCCTACCATTTTAAAACAACAGCTCATCTAACAAATAAGGCTGAACCAGTAGCCAATATTTTATGAACTTCTTTAATGACAAAATTACAAACATTAGACTTCAATCATATTCAAATGGCTCACAATTAACTTCAATGCAAACGGAACATGGACACACCCTTAATGTTTTTGAATTAATTAATGAACAAGAGCTAAAAACTATTAAGACTAATTAAGATCAAACCAACCACTTGTCCACTGGACCCAATTCCCACTAAACGTCTTACAGAATCCCTGGGAGATCTGGCAAGACCTATAACTGCCATAAAGAATGCATCCCTGTTATCAGGTGATGTTCGTCACCAACTTAATGTAGCAGTAATCTTCCACTACTGAAGAAGCCAAGTTTGGATCCATAGGAGCTCAGCAATTGCAGTATCTCTAACGTACCATTTTTGTCAAAAGTTCTGGAGAAGATAGTTGTTGCTCAACTTCACTCATACTTGGAAAGACACAACATACTGTATTGTTTCCAGTCGGGCTTCTGCCCAGAACACAACACTGAAACTGCCTTCACGAAAGTTGTAAATGGCATAACAATGGCATTTATTTTCACCTTAGCTAATTGCTTTAACGAAGTCAAGACCTGGATGGTGGAAAACTTCTTGTCATGAAATGTTCAGAAAACCGAGGTTCTGTTGTTTGGAGGCAGGTCTGCAAATAGAAATTTTATTATCTCCACGCTCTACTCCAAAGGACTGAACTTTTCCCTCAGTAGCTCACCCCATAACCTAGGTGTCATCTTAGATACAGGCCGCTCATTCAAATCACATGTAAGTGCAGTATTGAAGGTACTGTATGCTTCCTACAGCTATAGGGTAACAGACTTATTGCTGGACCTTGTCTTGATCCTTAATCACAGCTTACACCTAGCTTTTAGCAAGCAAGTTCACTCTTTTCTGTTTTCAGTAATGTTAATATGCCCCGGGGGGTTGAGCAGCCGGTTGACCTTGGACCCCCAGAGGTGTTTTTTCTCCTTACTTAAGTGTTTTCGGTTCCTCTCCTCCGTTGTCATCTGGCTTCTTTATTTAATTTCTTTCCTTCCTTTTTCCCATTCTGTATTACTTTCTCTAATGATGTTTAATGTATCACAAGCCATCCATGTAAAGCGCCTTGGTTCGACTCTGTTATGAAAGGCGCTATATAAAAATAAATGGAATTGAATTTAATTGAATATGTATGTACACAAAAATCACGTTATGTATGGGTTCCACAAATGATTCACTATTATCTGCTGTGTCAGCCATATGCGATAGGTCTTGAAACATATCACATGTGGAATAGAGGGGGAATACTGTATACAATACCAGAAAGGTATACAATTACACACAAAGTTATATGTATTGTGAAATAATAGTTTGTGATCAGCTGTGAACTGAAATATTGTATAATTATTCTACAACATTGTATATCACACATAAACCTTAAGAACCAATTCTTGTTTGTGAACATGATTCATTTATAAGGTGCTGTTGTTAAGTAGAACACTCAGTGTATCTTAAATGTGCTCTTGATATACATTTCAACATGTTATGCTTTACTGACATAAAAGTGTTTCAATCTACTATGTCCAGCAACAGACTTTTTTTCAGTTTATGATATTGCTCTCAAAACAGAAGGTGAATATTTAGGAATTAAGTCTGGCAACCATTGAAAGTGTGCATAGTAACTGGAAAGACCCTAATTTAAGGAATTACTCTTCGATAAAATAAAACAAATATTGCAAATTATGTTATTTTGTCCTGAGCCGTCCGGCAATTTTTAAAAAATAAATTGTTTCTTTCCCTTTCCCTCCATCATTGAGACAGTAACTGAATATGTTATTTACTCCCAGGAAGGAATACTTTAGGTCTTTATTGTTCTGTGATCATTGTTCACACCATTGCCTCATTTGTATATCAAAATACCACATGAAGCGCAACACAATCTAAGAAAAAATAAAGTGTTATGTCTTTAAAATTCATGCTAACCTTTGACAGCCCTAATTTTAATGCACAGTAAAAGTAAATCGATATAAACAGTATTGTCTCATTGTGTATCTCATTTGAAAACATACTGATATACTGTAAAAAGTCGATATATCACCCAGCCTTACTTGTTTTATATGATTTTAAGACTTATACTTGCTATATTTAAGTGACAAATTGACAGACCCATCCATACATCCATCCATCCATCCATCCATCCCTTCCTCCACCCATTTTCTGATGCGTTTCCGAGGTTGGGTTGCGGAGGTAGCAGTCTAAGCAGGGATGCCCAGACCTCCCTCTCTCCCTCTCACCTGCCACCTCCTCCAGGTCCACCGGGGGAGTACAAAGGCATTCCCAGGCCAACCAAGAGACATAATCTCTCCAGTGTGTCCTGGGTCTGCCCTGGGGCCTCCTCCCGGTTGGACATACCTGAAACACCTCCCCAGGGAGCCGTCCAT